CGCCACCACGCCCGGCTAATTTTTTTGTATTTTTAGTAGAGACGGGGTTTCACTGTGTTAGCCAGGATGGTCTCGATCTCCTGACCTCATGATCCGCCAGCCTGGGCCTCTCAAAGTGCTGGGATTACAGGCGTGAGCCACCGCTCCCGGCCAAGCTCCTACATCTTAATAAGAAGAAAAGACAAATGACTTATGAGGACAAATACAAAGGATCATAACCGGAAATAATAGAAATAATCGATGAGGCCAGGTGAGGCGGCTAACTCCCATAATCCCAGCACTTTAGGAGGCTGAGACAGGCAGATCACCTGAGACTAACATAGTGAAATCCCATCTCTACTAAAAATAAAAATAATTAGCCAGGTGTGGTGGCCTGCGCCTGTAGTCACAGCTTCTTAGGAGGCGGAGGCGGGAGAATCACTTCAACCCAGGAGGTGGAGGTTCTAGTGAGCCAAGATCGCACCACTGCACTCCAGCCTGGGTGGCAGAGCGAGACTCCATCTCAAAAACCAAAACGAAATGAAAGTAATAATTAGTGAAACTGTGGAATGGCACAGAGCTGAATGAAGTGGCTGAAAGTGATATAGGGGAGACAGTTCACTGAGAATAGGAAGTTGTACACAGGTATCTACAGTATGATGGTATTTTTGTCCAAAAAGAGGGTCTGTGGCAGTAGTTGTAGTTGTAGCTGTTCCCTCTCAGCACAGGATGGGGCCGGTGGGCTCAGTCCCAAACCTTTCACTGTGGTCTATTTTGGGGATGGGGGTGAGGAGACAGGAAAGAGAGATTCTCTCCTACTTTAAGTAACACAAGAAAGGGTGTGTGTGTGTGTGTGTGTGTGTGTGTGTGAAAGCATGGATGGATTTTAGTTTATGTTTTTAAGTGTTTATGCTTAAATAAGAATGCTCTGGGCTGTGAGGCGGAGGAAGAGTGGATGGTGGAGAGGGGGAGGGAACTCCCCAACAATTCAGAGAGGCCCATGTCCAGAAGAAAAGTGGTGATGGGGCCCTCTCTGCCCTCCCCAAAGCTTGATCCAGTACTGTGAGTGTGGAGGGGGGCGCTTGCTCTGGGACAGGAGCTGGGCTGGAAGTGCTGCTCATGTTCTTAGGAGGGCTGAGAGCCAGATGGGCTGTGCAACTTCCCAGCATGGATTCCAGGACTTCAGCACCGGGGACAGGGACGTTTCCAGAAGTTGCTGGCAGCACGGGAAGCAGAAGCACCAGGAAGTCCCAGAGGCCCTGGGTGGGGCAATTAGCTGGGGGCTTAGAGCTGGGCACACAGTGAGTTCTGAAAGCACCCTATAAAGTGCAGGAGAAGTGCAGGAGTGAGGCCGCAAGGTACTCTGCTGGAGTCTCCCCAGGTGTAGGCTGCCGGCTGTGAGCATCACAGCCCCTTCCTCCTTCCCCACTGACTGGGCTGCTGTAGGAGGGTTCCCATGACAGAGGACGTGTGGGTAGGGCCAGCGCCCTCACTCCAGACACCTACCCTCTCCAGACACCTACCCTCTGGCAGGAAGCGGTGGGAATGAGAGAAATGTTCAGGCACCTGCACTTGCATTGGGAACAGCCTATTTTGCTAGTTTGTTTTGTTTCGTCTTGTTTTGATGGAGAGTGTATGTGTAAGTTCAACCAGGGAGATTTCAAGGGAGGATGGCAATGCTGGGACTCCCTGAGAAGAACCCTGGAGGCCTCTCTCCTCCGCAGCTCCTGAGTCACTGCCTGCAGGCCTGGCACCTCTCAGGACAGGGACAGGTTCAGCACCTTCTCGTGAGCAGGCCCATCTCAGCTTCCCCTCCCATGCTCCCTGCAGTTCTCCCTCCCCAACCCCATGCAGCTGCGGAGAGGTTCTTGGTCAGAAACAGGAAAATACCTCCATGGCTGGCACACTCAGGGAGAGAGAGAACCCAGGCACACACAGGCTGCCGCCTACTGGGACTTCATTCAAAGATCAGGAAGTGCTGGGGTGGGGAGGGGAGGAGGGCCTGGAGGGAGGCCCAGTGGGCAGGGGGCATGGCCACCAACGCTTCAGCTTAATGGTATTTGGAGGTCAACACATCACTCACGAAAGCAAATAATTTGTCCGTGGGGGCACCACATGGGTAAACTGGGAAGGGTGTGATGGACCAGTGTCACCAGCAGGCATTTATCGAGGAACTGTGGAGAGAGTCAGGGGACGTAGATACCACTGTCACCTGCGCTCTACCTCCCCGGACGCATGGGATGCTGTGTCTTATGAGGAAGACCAGCTGCCCCCACACCCTAGATTCCTCCCAGCCCAAAGCTCACCCTGATGTTGCCTGGGTCCACCCACAGCTCGTTGACGTGCAGTTGCCTCAGCTCAGACAAGTCATTGGGCATGTCATCTCAGTGGGCCATGGTGTTGGTCAGTGTGTCGGCCACCTACTTGCATTGTTTCTTGATGAGGGCTGAGCCATACCTCAGGACCAAGTGAGAGGAAGGTCAGGAACATGCTTCAGGGGGAAGCAAAGAATGAGGGGCTGGGGGCTGGGGCTGGGGCAAGAATGGTTAGGGGTGGCCAGTGGAGCCCTAGAGTGGGTGTTGGACCCAAAATGTGAGCGGGGAGAGGAGGGTCCTTCCCTCTCAAGGGGCTCCGTGACATAGTCAGGAGCGTGGTCGCAAACCTTCGCCCAGACCGCCTTGATGTTAGCCTTGTCCTCAGGAGACAGCACCGTGGTGCGTTCTGTCTGAGTCTGTGTAAGCTCAAAAGTGAAAGGAGCGGGAGAGTAGGAGCTCTTATGCCTGGGATGCAGGGTCTTTGGCAGGCAAGTTGCCAGGAGGTGCCTGGCACAGGAAAATAGGAAGAGGAGTAAGTGAGAGTAGGCAGGTTGCCCAAGGCTACCCTGCGTCTCTTAGTCCTACTCAAACAGAAACCCAGTTCTCTACATGGTAACCTTCCCACTCTCATTGTCCTGGGCTTCTACACAGGGTCCTGAGCCCCTTATACCCGTAAGGTATCCACATATGGCCCAGACCCAGGCAGCTTCATGGATGGGAAGAAGAGCACAGTTTTTCCAGAGTGAAACATAAGCTGCTTTCACACCAAACTGCCTGGGACCAAAAGCTGTTACTTATCCATGTAAACATTTGGGGAGCTGAGCGTGGTGGCTCACGCCTGTCATCCCAGCATTTTGGGAGGCTGAGGCGGGCAGATCACTTGAGGTCAGGAGTTTGAGACTAGCCTGATCAACGTGGTGAAACTGTGTCCCTATTAAAAATACAAAAATTAGCCAGGCATGGTGGCGCGTGCCTATAATCCCAGCTACTCGGGAGACAGAGGCAGGAGAATCGCTTGATCCCAGGAGGCTGAGGCTGTAGTGAGCCACTGCACTCCAGCCAGGGCCACAGAGCAAGGCCCTGTCTCAAAAACAAAACAAGACAAAATGAAAAAACTCAAGAAAACAGTTGGGGTATGTAGATAACATGGGGCCAAGTTCTCCAAACTACCAGGCTGGCGTCCCAGGCAGTGCAGGGCAACAGGTCCCTGGCACTGACTGCTGGAGGGAGCTTGACTGACTCACAGTCAGGGCTCCACTTCCAACAGCTCTCTTCAGACCTAGGCGCTGATCGCCAGGTCAGACCTGGCTGCCAGGCCTGGTCTAGTGCTCCCCACACTGACCCAGGATGGCCAACCCAGAGCCAATCCTATTCAGGATTTGCAGACCTCGAAGGTCCTACTCTTTCCTCAGACCCTGTTCTTTGTCTGAAAAGCCTGGGGTGGAGCCTTAAGATTCCTTTCCCCATCCTGGGGAGGGAGAAGAGGGAACCTGGGGGAGGGAGTGCCTTGGCCTGGGCACCTGCAGAGACTGAGACACGGCAGCTGGGGCTGGGTGGAGGGGTGGGGTGGCAACGAGCCGGCAGGCACCCACCCTATGTTATGATTTGAAAAATTATTTCAAAAATCTTGTGAGTTGAATGTTGTTTTTCTATTCGATGGGTAAAGGCTGGAGAGCTCTGGGACATGCCCAGGGTCGCATAGCTTGTCAATGAGCAGGCTGGAAGCCTAAACCAGGTCTGTCTGCCAATTTGTGGCCACAGAGGACTTCCTCCCCACCTCACCCCCAGGGCTGGAGGGTCACAGGCAGGGCTAACCAGGCTAGCACAGGTTTGCAGCCCAGGAAGTGTCCATGGGGGAAGGAAGGGGAAAGGAACAGTGAGGTCTGCGGAGCCCTCTGCTCTGGGGCCCTAATTAGGTTGCACATTTGACTCCGGGACCTCAGTTTCTGCATCTCTCTGCAAAGGGTCCAGGATTAGCATCTACAGGTCCCAGCAGGAAGTGGGGATGGAGAGAGAATGAGTGAATAAATGCATGAATGGGGAAGTGCTTTGCGAACAGTGCGGTTGGAAGCCGGATTCAAGAGTTGAAGTCGAAGGCCACCCCCCCCCACATCACAGTACTCCCTCTGCCCCACCACACTCCCCGCCATGGGAGGACAAACCTCCGGGGGTGGGGTGCATTTGAGAGTTCTAGGAGGATCCTTGCAGGTCCCTGAGCTTCTCTGGCCAACAATAGTGACCTCACTTTGCCAGCTCCCCAAAGACCACACAGGCGGGGGCAGATATTTGGGGCCTCTGTTTATTGACAGGCACAAACAAAGGCCAGCGCAGCACTAGGCTCAGCGGTACTTTTCCGTCAACACTACGGCCACACCAGTCAGGAACTTGTCCCACGCCGCTTGCATTTCCACGGTGAACTCGTCCTGCAGGTGGGAGGCCAGCACGACGTGGAAACACTGGATTAGCAGCTGCAGGAGAAGCGGCCTGTGAGACGGGGTCTGGCCCTCTAGGGATCCCCGGAGCTCCCCCGGCTGCGCGCTATACCATTGCCCCGGCCGGAGAGGGCTCACCGGAAAGTTGGCTGGGTCCACGCGCAGCACGAGCGCGTGCAGGTCCGCCAGTGGGCTCAGCGCGGCGCGCAGGTGGTCCATGTGCTGCACCGCCGCGCCCACCGCCGCCAGCATGCGCTGCCCGTGGCTCAGCAGCTGCGTCGCGTCCTGGCAGGAGCTCAAGTGCGGGAAGTAGACCTTGGTGCTGGGGTACACTGTGAAGAGCCTGCAGGACCAGGTCGGTGACCGGGGAGGAGGGCGGCTGCGTGGGACTTCAGTAGGGCCCACACCGCCCAGAGTCCCGGGGATCCGCATCGGAGGGACCTTGGATGGCGTTGGCGGCCCACGCGGCCAACACCCTCATCTCCACCTCCCCGAGCTCCCAGAGACCCCGCCTCTACCGACCTGAGCAGCAGCTCCGCCCCGAATTGCGCCTCGTGGCCCGCGATCAGGTCCCAGACCTGCGCGATTTGGGCGCGCTCCTGGGCGCTGAGCATGGCGCCGCCTGACGTGCTCTTGGGGCCGCACCCGCCGCCCTGGGCTCCTTATAGAGACTCCGAGCACCCCGCCTGTCCTTATCGGCCCGAGAGCGGCGGGAACGCGGGGACTCTCGGCCTGCGCCGGGAACGTAGCCGGTCCGGGTTCCTGCCTACATGGAGGCCTCGACCTCCGGGATCCCAGGGTTTCTGGCACTGACTCACGCTGTTGTGCGTGGGTACCTTTACTCCAGACTTCAGGGGCGTCTGTAATTACTCCCTCGGGCAAAGTTACTGGTGTGCCAGAAGGGAGCCCGTGGGAGGAGCCGGAGAGAGAACACGGGGCAGGAAACCCCTACTCTCTTAGGAGTCGGGGAGGGACAGGCCTCAGGGACCCCCGCAGCTGCCAGAATCCCGGGATTCGGACTTCAGGCTTTGTGGAAAAGTTCCCTGAGTCCCGACACGCTCCCGATACGCTTAGCGAAGTGACAATCTTTGGGCGATATGGGAAGCTGGGAGACGCACAAACGCCCGTCTGACCAAGAGCCCCAGGAGACGCCGTGGGCTGGCCCGGGACTGCTCTGCTCCACCCGGGCTGCAGCTCCGGTGCTCAGGGCAAGAACCTCCCCAAAGCGCCCCCCACGTGACCCCCAGGCCGCCACGTCAGCGGGGACGACCGCGTTCCTGCAAAGCCCCCGGACCCGTCACTCAGCTTCTCCCCTTCTTCCCTCCAGTACTGAGAACACAGAGCCCAGATCGCTCCGTCCTCATCCATTTATTGGAGTCAGGGCAGGAATTGTGGGAGGGTGAAGGGCAGGGGAGGGGCCGCAGCCTGTCCTGGGGGTCCCGGAGGCGGCGCTCAGCGGTACTTCTCGGTCAGGACAGAGGATACGACCGCTAGGAACTTGTCCCAGGCGGCGTGGGCCTCGGCCGTGAAGTCGGCGGGGAAGCGCGCGGCCAGGGTGACCAGCAGGCAGTGGGACAGGAGCTGGGG